TAGGGTTAGGTTTAGGGGTAGGGATTGGGTTTAGTCTATATTTTTTTGGACAGTAGTGTTCATCCAGGGTCAACAAAAAATCCAGGAACATGTCTTACTTGGCAAAATCACGGTGACCAACATATACACAATCAGATTGTTTTATATATTCATTTTAGAATTTAGTGTTTTAAAATGTAATCATGCGATGAGCTTCCTTTTCCAGTTAAGTCAGTTATATTGATGTAGTTGCCAGGAGAATTTCATTTAATGTGCTATATTTTCACATTAAGAGTTTTATTCATGCATTAACTTTTACCAGGATCTGGACCAGATGGAGCTGAGGAAATCAAACGCCATTCATTCTTCATGACGATTGATTGGAATGTAAGTTCTTCAGATTCCAGCAAATCTAAAGCAATAGTTCTATTAAAGGCTTCAGTAATGGTTGAGTGTGAAAAATGTTTTTTATAATCATTTTCAGAAACTCTTTAGACGAGAAATAAAACCTCCATTCAAGCCAGCAGTGGCCAGACCTGACGACACCTTTTACTTTGACTCGGAGTTCACTTCTCGTACCCCCAAAGGTGAGGGATCATTTCTATGATCTGTGACTAGTCTCATTAGTTCTTGTGGTCAGTTTGATTTTTTTGGACCATGGCGAGAATAGTTGACAATTCAAAACAAACTACTGGAGAATTTAAAGAGATAGTTCAGCTAAGAAAAAAATACCCACCCTCATGTTGTTTGAAACCTAAACGATAACCTTTGTTCTGGTGAAAACAAAAGTTGTTGTTTAGCAGAATGTTATCAGAAAGTTGCTCTTATACATATAATAAATGTGGATGGAGGCCAGAGGCTGTCAAACTCCAGAAAAGACAAAAAATATAATTACAGCACCAGACGCTATATATCAAGTCTTCTGAATCCGTACGGTAGCGCTGAATGAGGGACAGACCAAATTTTAAGTAATTATTCACTAAAGTCTTGCAAGATTTGTTACATCTAACCATGGTCTCCATTCACTTTCATTTTATGGAAAAGAGCAGCGTGAAAATTCTGCTCAGCATCTCCTTACACAAAACACAAAAGAAAAAAAAGAATACAGCATTGAATGGCTTAATAATCACAAAATTATTTTTGGGTGAACTCTCTTTCTGTAGTCTCTTCATGTATAGGGTAGCCATAGAACAGATGGCTGTCGTTTCATCTTGATCTTCAAGTTGTGGTATCTTCACTGCAGTAAATTTTGAGCTTTGTGTGGATTTTTCAAATGTCATCAGCATGGATAATATGGAATATGAGTGTGGGCTTCATGATCTCTCTGCTTCTTGGCCTTTCTCAGATTCCCCAGGGGTCCCCCCCAGCGCAGGGGCTCATCAGCTCTTCCGGGGCTTCAGCTTTGTTGCCACGGCGATGCTAGAGGAGGAGGGCAAAGAAGAACCATCTCAGCCCCCTCCACACCCTGTAGTACAGGTAAGTAATCAGCTTCAGTGGGGCAAAAAAGTATTTAGTCAGCCACCAATTGTGCAAG